GATGCATACCCAATTTGTTGTCCTGTTTTTTCTCTTTTTTACTGGCATTTTGTTTTTTTCCTGTTACAGATCAAGAAAAATTTTAGTATAATTTTACAAGATTTTGAGTACCAATTTTTTCTCCCTTCCTCTCTCACCTCCTCTCTTCTGAAACTGGTAGGCAGTTTGATATAGTTTATACATGTGCTATCATGTAAAACATGTTTCCATATTAATCACAGTTGTAAAATAAGAAACATATCAAAAGGGGAAAAAACATGAAAAAAAGTAAGAGTAAATGAAAAAAATATTCTTTGATCTACATCGAGTCCATCAGTTCTTTATCTGAATATGTACAGTATTTTCCTTCATGAGTCTTTTGTACTTGTCTTGGATCATTGTATTGCTGAGAACAGCTGAGTCATTCATAGTTGATCATCACACAATGTTGCTGGTGTTGTGGACAATGTTTTTCTGGTTCTGCACATAATTGGCCATTTTAATAGCAAAAACAACAAATATTCTATTCTTTCCACTGATGCAAAAAAACTTCTGACAAAATACAACAGCCATTCCTGTTTAAAAAAAAAAACACTAGAAAGCTCTGGAATAAAGAGAAGTTTTTTTTGTTTTTTTTTTTGGTGAGGTCACACAGCTAGTATGTGTCAAGTGTTTGGTCTGAGGCCTTATTTGGACTCAGGTCCTCCTGACTTCAGGGCTGATGCTGTATCCACTGCGCCTCCTAGCTGCCCCCAAAAGTATTCTTTAAAAGATAAACAGCATCTATCTAAAACCAAAAGCCAATATTACCTGTAATGGGCATAAGCTAGAAGCTTTTTCATAAAGATCAGGGATGAAGCAAGGAAGTCTATTTATCACAATTTCTATTCAATACTGTACTAGTAATGCTAACTATAGCACTAAGGAAAAAAATGAAATAATAAGCATAGGCAAAGAGGAAACAAACTATCACTTTTTGCAGATGATATGATTTACTTAGAAAACCCTAGTTGTTGTTGTTACTGTTTTTCAGTCATTCAGTTATGTCTGATTCTGTGATCCCACAGACCATACTGTCCACAGAGTTTCCTTAGCAAAGATACTGGGGTAGTTTGCCATTTCCTTCTCCAGAAAACCTTAGAGTGTCAACTAAAAAACTAACTGAAACAATTAACAACTTTAGTAAAGTTACAGGACATTAAAAAGAAAACTACGCAAAATCAGCATTTCTATATAGTACCAACAAAATCCAGCACAAAGAGAAAGAGAAATTACATGTAAAAATAACTACAGATAAAATAAAATACTTGGGAGGCTACCTGCCAAAACATTCACAGTAACTATATGAACACAATTACAAAACATTCTATACAAATATGTCTAAATAATTTGAGAAATACTAATTACTCAAGGGTAAGTAGAGCCAATGACAATACTACCATGGAGTAAAATGCTTCAGAGGAAGTTAGCACAAGAGAGATGAGAGATGCTCAAGAATGGAATTCTGAAGACACAAAAAAATAATTCCAATGAGAAAGAAAAATGAAATTTGTCTGAAGAGATCACTGTGACTGCACAGAAAACTCACCAGTCAACTTAGATTGTAAGAGGAAATGTAAAGAAGATAGAAACAAAGCCAGGTAATATATGATAAATATAAGAGGGTAGCAAGGTCCTTCAAAAATAGTGTCAGGAAGCCTCAGAATGAGCTGAGACTGGCAAGGAAAACTAACAACAACAAAAAGGACTTTTTAGAGAAACAATGGGAGAAAAAAATGAGATTATCCCTTTTTCTAGGGAGAGAAGACAGAAATGTTTCATTTTTCTTTCATTTTTTGTTTTATCTACAAAGGAGAATGACTTTTACAATGGAAATGACAGACTAGAAATGGACCTCCTGAGAATTGACACCCAAAGTTAAGTAAGAAAACAGTAAGAGAACACCTAGCTTCTTTTGACAAAGTCACATGGCCCTGAAGAACGAAATGGTCAGGTCCTGAAACAACTGGAAGATGTCGTTGCTAAGCTACTGACAACTTGATCTGAAAGATCATAGAAAATGGGAAAGGTATCACAAGATTGGAGAAGTGCAAATGTCTACATTTTCAAAAAAAAAAGAAAAAGAGCAGTCTACAAACTATAGGCCAATGAGCTTGACTTCAATTCCTGGGAAAATTCTAGAAAAAGGCATTAAAGGGATGATTGGTGAACATTAAGAAAGGGAAGTGGTGATTACAAAGAGCCAGCTTAACTTCATCTAGAATGATCATGCCAGACTAATTTCATATCCTTTTTTTTTTGGGACAGGATTATTAAATTAGTAGATGAGAGGAATATTGTAGTTATGATTTGCCTAGATTTTAATAAAGCTTTTAACAAATTACCTAATCTTTTCTTATAGAGAAAATGGAGAAACATTGATTAAATTAAATTATAGTCAGATGGTTTCAGAACTGGTTGGATGGCAAGATTAAAAAGAATAGCTGTTAATGGTTTAAAATCATCTTGGCAGGAGGTCTCTAGTGGAGTAACCCAAGGATCAGTACTTGACTTTGTGCTATTTAAAAGTTTTATAGGTGACTTAGATAAAGATATGTTTATCTAATGTGCAGATGATGCAAAGCTGAAAGGGATAGATAGATAGATAGATAGATAGATAGATAGGTGGATGGATGGATAGATAGGATGATAAGAGTAAGAATCTGACTGAATCTAAAGATGAAAAGGACCTGGGGGTTTTAGTGGTCTGTAAGTTCAACATGAATCAGAAGTGTGATATGGCAGCTAAAAAAGCTAATGCCATCTTAGGCTTCATAAACAAGAGGCACAGCTTCTAGGAAACAGGGGTAATAAACCCACCATATTCTGCCTTCATCAGATCTGATCTGAAATACTGTGTTCAGTTCTGGATGCCACAGTTTTAAAAGGATATTAATAAGCTTGTGAGTGTCCGGGGAAGGGCAAACACAGTAAAAGGCCTCAAGTCCCTGACACATAGGAATCTGTTAAAGGAACTGGATATGTTTAAGCCTAAAGAAAAAAATGAGGGGGGGAGGTAGGGGAGTCAGGGATGGAACTTGATAGGTAAGTTCAGGTATCTGAAGGGCTCTCATGTGGAAGAAGACTATATTTATTCTATTTGGCCCCAGAGGACAAAACCAGGAGCAATGGTTAGAAATTACAAAGATGCGAATTTAGATTTGATGTTAGGAATAACTTCCCAATTAGAGCTGTCCAAAAGTGAACTAGATTGCTTCAAGATGTGATGGATCCCCCTCCTTGGAGGTCTTGAAGCAGAGGCTTGGATGAGTACTTGGTAGGTATGTTATAGTAGGAATTCCCTCGCATATGGACTATGACATTGCTGAAGTCTGTTTCAACTTTCAAATTCTATGATTCTGATTCCTTCTCTTCTTCTCCAGCGAATTACAAACTCAATTATCTCTTCTCTCTCTAATCTTCAACTTCTTCCTATATAATGGCTCCTTCTAAATTTGTCTCAGACTCCTCCATCCTTAAAAAATTTTCTTTGACCCTATCAAGATACACACTCTTCCTTTATCTGACAAAGTCCTAGAAAAAGTTGTCTACTAATCATTGCCTCCACCTCCTCTCCTCTCACTCAATTCTTCTCAGTCTGGCTTCCAACCTTATTACTCAACTGAAATTGTTTTATACAAAGCTAACATTGGTCTCTAAATTGCCAAATCTAATGGTATTTTTTTCACTCATTCTTCCTGAACCTCTTTGCAGCATCTGACATTGCTAACCACTGTTTCCTCCTCTATTCTATCTCTCTATCCTATCTGGGATTTTGAAACATTATTCTCTCCTTGGTTCTTCTCTTACATATCAACTGCTCCTCATTCTACTATGCTGGCTAATCATAGCCCCTAACTGTAAGTTGTACTCTAAGGTTCAATCCTGGAATCTTCTGCTATTTCTACAAGGTCATTTAGAGACCTCACCGCTTTCATTGCTTTATCGTCTCTAGGCAGATGATTCAGACACCTATACATGCAGTGATAGCACCCCTGAGCTACAAGTCGTGCATAACTAATTGCCTATTGGGCATTTCCAAAGGAATTATAACTCAAACTCAATATATTCAAAACAGAGCCTCATTATCTTTCCTTCAAAACACCCTTTCTCCAAACTTCTCAATTTCGTCCAGTCACTCAGGTGGATAACATCAGAGGTTCTTAATTCTTCACTTTCCTTTATAACATATATCCAATTAGTTGCAAAATCTTGCTGTTTCTACCTCTCCCACATAGCTATCACCTTCGTTCAGGCTCTCATCACCTCTCATCTAGATTATTTCAATGACCTCCTAACTGTCTTCCTGCCTCAATCTTCTAACTCCATTCACCCTCCATTGGACTGCCAAAGTGATCTTAAAACAGATCCGCCCATATCACACCCTTACTCAATACTCCAGTGGAAACTCAACAAACGTCAGCTGGTGGACTGGTTGATTTGGAGGTAGATGTGAGGAAAAAGGGTAGGACAGAGGAAAGTGTGCTCTCAATCCCGGGGTGAGGGGTTGTTGGGGGGGAGGGGGGCGGGGCACCCCCCAAGAAGGGACGGCCGAGGCAGATAGGCTGCAGGCGGGGGCAGGCAGACACAACCAGGCCTGGTGGGGAGGTGCGATCACCACCGGCTGCCCGGGACAAGGACGTGCCAAGTGGCCAGAGGCAGCGGACGGTGGAAAAGCGTCCCTCACCGTAGGAAAGGTCACTTGCCTCCGCTCCGCTTCCCCACGACAGCTGCAGGGACCCATGACCCGGGGTAGGCGGGCGGGAGCTGTGCTAACAACGCCGCCGCCACCGCCTCCTCCCCTTTCCAACCCCGCAGAGGGCGGAGGGACGCCGGGACAAGGGCGCGGGGTCCCGAGCACAGGCCCGAGGAGTCTCCGCCCCTTCCCTTCTCTCTTACCCCACTTTCCGGGACGAGTGGAACCCAGACGCGAGGCTTGGGCAGAAAGGCCCGGCCCGGCGGCCAGCGATCTGACCACCTACCTGAGCTGTCCCCATCCTCGGAGACTGAAGAGCTCTCGGTGTCCTCGTCCTCCGAGGTGCTTCCCTCGTTCTCGGCGTAGTCCACCTCCATTTCATCGTGATGGTTAGTCTCTTTCTTGTCCCCGCGGGAATGGACAGGCATTTTCCAGTCGCCCCCGGTGCTTATTCCTCTTCCTCGAAGAGCACGGCTCCTTCCGTGCGGCTATGTCCCCAACCCAGCTCGAAGCGACCCGACTTCTCCCAGAATTGCCTTCTTCCAGTCTGGAACTCACAGCCTAACCCGCCGGCTCCGCGATGGAAGCCCTGCCATTGGAGAACCCCTTCCATGAAGCCTGGGAGGCGGGGCTTGGTCGCACGTTGAAGGTTCGAAGACCCGTTGCCTGTCGGGAATTGTAGTCTCTGCGAAGGAAACCCAAGTGAACTGGATTTCGTAGCCTCAGCTCTGGTTATTTGGCCTAACTGGAATTCAATCCCAATAAAGCACCAATAAGATACATTCAAATCTCATTTATAGACAGAAGCTCATATTTCACGCATAGATGAATTATTTCCATTTTCCCACCAAACCAGTTGCCTGAAAGTTTCCTAACATGAGAGTAAGTCACTAAAATTTCCCATGTGAGTACCCCACCCCCAACTCTGTTTAAGTATAGCAGAAATAGAGAATTGTTATATCACCCTCCAGTTTGGTTCAGAACGTCATTATTAGTAGTAACAAGTTCAATGGCTGTTAAAAAAAAAGAAGAGACTTTAGAGACTTACCTAGTCCAACCCCTATTTATGTAGAGACAAGAAAAATGAAGACCCAGAGAAATTAAGGAATTTGACAAAGATTACACAGCAAGTTCCTAACAGAGTAAGGACTATAACCCAAACTCACTATCAGTGGGGCAGAGTGGAAAGAGTATTGGAGTTGGAGTCACAACATGTGTTTGAGAATGGCTCTGCCACTTTGTTCTATCCTTGGACAAGTCTTTTAACCTCTGTATGGCCCAGAACAAATGACTCAGTATCTTTGGCCTCAGTTCCTTCATCTGTACATGGAAAGGCTTATTCTAAATGATTTAAGTGATGGCTACCAGTTTTGACCATATACCTTACAGTAGGAAGGCCAGTGCTCATTCCACTAAATTACAATCCTATTGAGATAGTAAATTTGTATTATACTTTCTATCTTAATTTGTATGATTTGTACTTTCAGCGCTATATAGCATGTAGAATTATGCAAATAATTGTATTAAAAACTTTAATTCTGTTCTCTGGGCCAGAGAAACAAGAGGGGATAGTGAGGAAGGAGGTTAAGCCTGAGAGAAACTGGGAAGAGAATAGCCACAGACAAAACAAGATTTCAGAGAGAATCTAAAAGAGAAAAAGAAAAACAAATATAATTTAAAGGGTGGGGGGCCCATTAATTGGGGAATGTCTAAACAAATTGTGGTAGATCAAAACAATATTAAGTTAATATTAATATTATTGCACATTATGAAATGAGGAAAGAGAATTTTAGAGAATCCTGGAATGAATGAGATGATGAAGAGTGATGAACCAAGAGAACAATTTATATATGGACAACAACATTGTAAAGAAAAACAATTTTGAAAAATTTAAGCACTCTTATCAATGCAATGATCGACTATATCTTTAGAAGCTATAGGATGAAATATGATATTCACTTCCTGACAGAAAGGACTCAAGGTGCAGAAACACATATTTTTTTGACATGGCCCCTGTGTGGCTTTGTTTTGCTTAACTGTTCCTATTTGTTACAAGATTTGTTTTTGTTGTGTTGTTGTTTCTCGTTTTTTTTTTTTTTAATTGAGGGAACTGGTGGAGGAGGGAAGGGGTGGCTAGTAAGAGTGAAACACACAAAAAAAAGGAGGGCATAGAAACATTTTTAAATGAACAAAGCACAAGGAAATTCAGAAGCATTAACAGATACAGAGGACAATTTTTAAAATAATTTGTGGAAATATGTATGTGTGTATAAACATATTTTTAAAGCAAGTGGCATGAAATAGAGATTCACAACTTCATACACAATACTTTTTTTATTCTACTGTGTATATGAAAATTATCCTTGTTGCTTAAGTTCAGAATTAACAAATTGAATTTTTAAAAATTAAGCTTAGGGGAAACTGATACTGGTTAAACAATAGAGAGGTAAATTAGTGGAACAGACTAGGTACATAACATCCAGAAGCAAATGAACATAGTAGCCTAGTGTTTGATAAACCCTAAAACCACAACTACTAGGCTTAAGAACTATTTGACGAAAACTGCTGGAAAATTTGGAATGCAGTGTGGAAGAAATTATAAGTAGACTTAACATCTCACTCCATATAACCACGATAAGTTCCAAATAGAATATGACAGATATAAAAGGTGACATAAATATATTGTAGAAGCAAGGAAAAATGTACCCTTAAGAAAGATAGATGGGGAAGAGTTCACGATCAGACAAGGGATAGAGAAGATCACAGAAAATAAAATGGACATAATAAATAAAAATAAATAAAAATAAAAAATAAAATTTTTTGTACAAACAAAGGTAATGAAGTTAGGATTAAAAGGGAAACTGAATTAGGGGGAAAATCTTTGCAGCTAGTTTCTGTGATAAAAGTGTTATAGCAAAATATATAAAGACTGGTCTAAACAAAAGCCATTCCCAATAGATAAATAATCAAAAGATATGAACAATTTTCAAAAGATCTAAGCTATCACCAACCATATGGGGAAAAAATGCTCCAAACTACTAATAAAAAAATACAAACTAAAGCAAATCTGAGGTTATACTCAAAGTTATCAATAGATAATGCAGTTTATCTATTGGCAAAGATAACAATTATTGGAGGGGTTGTAGGTCAAATAGGCATATTAATGCACTATTGTTAAGTATAAACCAATCCAACCATTTTGGAAAACAATTTGAAACTATGCCCCAAAAGTTACTACATTGTGCATACTCTGACCCATTGATACCACTCCAAAAAGAAAAAAAAAGGACCCATATGTACAAAAACATTCATAGCAGTGATTTTTGTATGGCGAAGAACTAGAAACTAATACAAATATATTATTGCACTATAATAGAAGATCAAAGGGATACTTTCAGAAAACCTGGGAAGATTAATATGAACTGATGCAGAATGAAATCAGTAGAACCAAAAGAAAATTTACACAACAGCATTGTAAAGAAAAACAACTTTAAGGGGCAGCTAGGTGGCACAGTGGATACAGCACGGGCCCTGAAGTCAGGAGGACCTGAGTTCAAATAAGGCCTCAGACCAAACACTTGACACATATTAGCTGTGTGACCTTAGGCAAGTCACTTAACCCCAATGGCCTAACAAAACAAAACAAAACAAAAAGAAAAGAAAAGAAAAACAACTTTAAAAGACTTGGTATCTCTGATTAATGCAGTAACCACAATTTGAGAAAACCAGTGAAGTTGCTATTGATACCTCCTGCCAATGAGATGATAGACCCAAGATGAGGAATGAAACATGTCTGGACATGTCCAATGTAGGAATTTGTTTTGCTTGACTATGTAGATTTGTTACAAGGATTTTGTTTTTCTTTTCTTTTTTCATTTTGGAGGGGGAGGAGGTGAGAGCAAGAGTAGGACTAGGATTAGGTGCTCCTAAAGGAGAAGAAACAGGAAAACCAAAAGGAATCACATAGGAAAGCAGGACAGCTTTGAAAGCTACATGTTGAACTTATATACTTAAAAAAAAAAAAGCTTTATGTAATGGAAGTTTCATGTACATTCTTTTCCTTCTTTTCTATGATGTATATGGAAATGTTCATTTTATTTGGAGTTTGTCAAGTTCAAAATAAAAATTAAATTAATTTTTATTTGGTATAGTACAGAATAAACAAAAAAATTTCAGTAGTATTGTCATTTTTATTTTATTGCCACCACGCAACCATGAGTAATTAATCTTTCTCCAATTATTTAGGTCTGTATTTATTTTTGTAAAAAAATTTTGGTAATTATAAGTTTAATTCCTGTATGCATCTTGGAAGCTGGAATCTTATTTTCTACATTCATATTTAATTTAAATTAAATTTAAATGGATTATGTTGGCAATATATATGAAGGATGATGATTTTGTGGAGTTATTTGATATCTTTCTACTTTACCATATTTATGAATTTGTCAATTAGTTTTATTTGAACCTAAATTACCATTTCATCTTCAAAAAGCAATAATTTGTTTCTGTTTTGCCAATGTTTATTCCTTAAATTTCTTTTTTCTCATCTTATTACTAAAAGCATTTTAAATTAGTACTTAAATAAAAATGGTAATAATGGAAATCCTTACTTTGCCCTTGATCTTTTTGGAAAGGCATCTAGCATTTCTCCAATACAAATAATCCTATATTTTAGTTTTAGATGAAATTATTTTACTTATTAGGAAAAGGTCTATTTATTCTTATGCTTTTTCATGTTTGTTAAACTAAAAATATTGTATTTTGTTTTTTTTAAAGACTGTATTTAAAGGGGCAGCTAGGTGGTGCAGTGGATAGAGCACGGGCCCTGAAGTCAAGAGGACCTGAGTTCAAACACTTAGCTGTGTGAGCCTGGGCAAGTCACTTAACCCCAATTGCCTAAAATTAAAAAAAAGGAAAAAAAAGACTATATTTACTGATTACATCATGTGATTTTTATTGTTTTTCTTAATACATTTTGTTATTTTGTCCATTGCATTTATATTGTTCCTAATGTTGAAATAACCCTGAATTTCTGCTATATCTAACCTGGTTACTGTGTAAAATCTCTTTAATATATTGTTATAGTTTTTTAATATATTTTAATTCAATATTTTTGGAGGAGTAGTCATTTGGGATATTAGACAAGAAGTTTCTTTCTCGCCTTTGTTTCAGCATATTTGTCTCACAGAAGGAGTTTGGTAGATTCGTTTTTTTGTATCTTTGATAGAATATATTTATTAACTTATCTGGTCTTAGTTTTTGTTTTTTGTTTTACCTATTGGGAGTTCCTTTATGGCTTATTCAATTTATTTTTCTGATATTGAGTTATTTAGATTTTGTATCTGTTATTCTCTTAATCTGAGTATTTTATATTTTTGTAAATATTTCAGTGGTTATTTGTTTTATTGGCATAAAATTGACAAAATAATTTATAATAATTTCATGTATTTCCTCTTCATTTGTTGTGAATTCTTCTCTTTCATTTTTTATTTTGGCTTTTTCTTTTGTCTACTAAACTAATGACATCTATTTTAAGTTGTTTTTCTAAACAGATTTTTGTTTACCAATTCAATGACTTTTGGTTTTCAATTTTTTAATCTCTTCTTTGATTTTCAGAATTTCTATTTTTGTGTTTGGATTTTTTGATTTGCTGCTTTTCTAATTTTTATTTGATAATATGCTAATTCATTGATTTATTCCTTCTTTTTTGTTAATGAAATGTTTAGAGATAAAAGCTTTCCTATAAGGACAGCTTTGACTATCCCAAAAGATATAGCACATTCAGTATTTTCATCTTCTTTAATGAAATTACATCTTGTTCTTTGACCTACTAATTTCTTAGAATTTGTTTAGTCTGAATTTAAGTTTATACTCCTTTATTCAAATGCCCCTTATTGATTATATATTTTTTCATTCTTCTCAGTAAAGGGTGTGTATAATATTTCTGCTTTTCTATATTTGTTCGTGAGACTTTTATGCAGTAGAACATAAAGTTTGTAAAGGTGCAATGCACAGATGAGAAAATATGTATGTACCTT